AWTTTWSSGKTWAAAAAATGACAGTGCAATTAAAAGAACTTCTGATCAGAACTTTTGATCGTAATTACCTGCCATAAGGTCCAGTGTAGCTAGACTCATAGTATCTGTGTCTTTATCTTTCGAATCGCACAAACCTGTGTGTGAAATAATCAAGGGCAAGTTGTAAGAAGGATGCAGYAGGGCTTTCCACCGAATAAATCTTTATCCAGCGGATACACTCAATACAAAAGCTATGGAGACAACTTGGTTTACCCTCTTACCGGCCCCCGAGTACTTTAATTGCAACAAGAACATTTGGGCACGCGCAACTTACCCAAACTCCAACTCGTAGCAACCATCAATRTGACAAACAGTACTAAAGCCATGGTAACTTTTGATCCTATGCATAACAAATTTTAATTGATACATTTCAGAGTTTTTGGAATGTATTTCATAACATGCAGTATATGTATGTAAAATCCAAGTGGTACTTGAATAAATTGCAATGCAAAGTCAAGTTTTAATGTCAAGTTTTATCTTTTAGATCCCTGTCATATAAAGTAGATGTAAACTGTGTAAAGGCTCCTCGGGAGGCCGAGGTCTGAGGTGACGCTAACAATTTGTTTTCCGTAATCACATTTTTTATTCAGTGCTCATTCTTTTTTATTCTTATTTTTTAATTTCAAAATTCGTCATTCATCGTGATACAATGTACTTTTCGATATACTGGTGTCTAAGGGTGTCCTCACCAGACGGGCTCTCCTCGATCGGTAGGATAACGCAAATATCAAACTAATAACATTTTGCCTTGCCAACCGACACAATGACAACAAAACAAATAAAAAACATAGAATAGAAACCTTTGTTAACTAATTATTCACGGCTTGCGGCGGTCGGAATGTATATTAACTGGCTTTCATATACATAAATTTCTGAACTTCTTACCTTATTTGTTTTAAAATAGCAAACGAAAGAGATCACATTTTACAGAAAAAGTACACCCATGTTTTCCATAACTGTTTTTCTGCTCTTGTTGATAAACAAATTCAACAATATAACAACGTTATTTTCATCTCATAAAATCTGAGCTGATTCTTTTCATTGACAGTGATGAATTATTCATGATAGACAATGGTGGGATATTCATTATCTACAGGTTAAGAAACTAGAGTAATCGATATATTTTCGGTCTGTCATCCATGCATGTGATCGATGTATTTTCGCTTTGTCATCCATGTGATCGATGTATTTTCGGTTCTTAAACTTCTAGCTTCAAGCGACGTTCTGTTATCCGCAAGTCATTTTAAGCGATTTATGGCACTAACGAAAATGAAGTTAGTGTTTTTCAAAAGATATAACAATACTAATGATTTTGTCGAAAACAATCTACACTTTCAACTATTTTTCTCTACATGAAGCGTTCAAAGTATTTTCAAACTTTATCAAACTTTCATAAATGACTCAGCAGGACTAAGAGGTTTCTTAAATATATTTATCATATAATTATCTATGAAATACTTATATTTCTCCATTTCGTAAAGTTGATATTTTCACTAGTGAAAATAACACATTCGAGGTTTCTCTAAGAAGTAAGAAAAAAGGTATTTTACGGCATAATTTGCTTTCATATACAATTATATGATAAATAGAATATCACATGTTCGCTTAGAGATACGAATTTTATCTCTACGCTCACTCGTGAGAGATCTTTGCAACACTCGAAGATAACATCCGTATCTCCGCGCGCCCATGTAGTATCCTCTATTTATTTTATTCAATCTCCATTTTCATCAGCACATTGATCTCATTTCGGTCTAATTTACTGATATAAACAGGAATGTCTAGTCAATAGATAAGTTTTATCGAGCGCATTATGCTTTTTATCTTTCAACAACAATATTTTTAAGCGGCGGGCTCTCTGCACTGATAGTACCCCTTCGCGGCGGACAATATCGCGTCACGTGGTCGTCTCGATAGTCGAAGTTTGTTGAAATATAATACATGATATATGCAAAAATAATGTTGACTTTCAATTACTTTTTCATGCATTTTGTCAAGCGAGACTTTAAATCTGTATACCAGCAATTATTTCATTTTAAAAAATACAACAAATATAGTGTCTAGTGAATTTGCGCAGAAAGATAAATTTACAATAATGCCGAAACAAAAAAATAGTTACTTAGTTAATAATTTTTTTACTCGTGACTGGCTAATTGGTTTTTGATTGTTCGCTATAGTTATGCACCATGTATATTTAATAATGCGACAACCATAAAGAGTCAAGAATCGCTGTCTTTCAATCTCAAAGCAGCTTGGATGGATCCGTACACATAACAAAGGTAAAGTATGGAACTACTATTTGATTTTAATCACTTAGGAATATAGCCAAACAGTACTTCGCAGTTTTGAAGTATTTAAATTAAACATAAAAGAAATGAAATAACTTATAAGAAAATGAAAAAAAATAACCGAGTTTGCTATATTCGTGCGCAAGAAACTAAAGAGATTATACCATTAAAATYTTTAATTACCAACAACTATACGATCCTGGTAGCAAAGTCCAAGGAATGTGATCAAAAAAGKGTTTTTTAGATTGYTGATCGACTGTTAATATACAATAATGTTTTTCGCTTTCGGCCGAAAAGAAGGTTTTAAACCAAACGACAATTTGTGTTCTATTTCGATGTAAGAATAATAGGCGATAATAGGCTTTTTACGAGCGCACTGAAAGTTTATCTCATTTGAGTACAAACTTTAGACGAAGCCGTTACATTACAAAAACCACAAAGACTGTCATGCCAACCCTGACAACGTCTTTAACGATTTTAACAATTCATTTTGATTTTCACTTCAGCGTGATGATRTGGTTGAGCAGTTTGGCTGCCCTTGCGCTCATGTGGTTTGTAGCCTTAGCAAAATCTGATCACCACTGTGTTGACGTCGCCATTGCTGAGAGAGGTAGGACAACATATTTTTGTTCTTTCTCCTTTCAAAAGTACTAAACAACTGCTTTTTTTCTAAAAAAAGAAGCTCTTAAAAGACCGTATGAGACTGAAACATGTCAAAGCGTATTGAGTTAAGTGTTTTTTTTTCTAGATAGACGCATGGTGAATGGCGGATTTTTCAGGCTAAAAACGGATGTTATGTCTTGCATTGCAAAATGTAAGCAAAATACGGTCTGTAAGTCCGTGAACTACTACTACAAAGGGAACCATAAAACGCTGTGTCAACTGATTCGGGAAAACAAGTTTACAAAACCCTCCTATTTCCAACATCGACAAGACGYGTTGTATTATGGAATACGGAATGTTAATTCAGTGACGAATAGAAAAGGTCTGACATCAAAAGTAAGYRCCAGTGTTAACCATATACTGAAATCAAAATTCCATGAAATAATTATTTCTTTCAATCACAGGAGTTAGAAGAAAGTCGCTCAAGTAGATTCAGTCGATGTCGTKCAACTCCATGCTTCAATAACGGGACATGCGAAGAGACGTGCGGAGAAACACCATTTAGATGCCACTGCCTTGAAAGCAACAGAGATCATCTTTGCTTGTCGTGGATTGGTATGTATGTTAATAGTATAAAGCGAAACTGAGAAGACAAAGAAACTACCGATTGTTTAGGACATGTATGCTTGGGTTAGACGCCCACAAAAATAAAAAAATTAATTATAAGGCCCTCCGAGAACGTTTGCGGATCGCTGGTTTGTTTCATAACCAGAAAGTTCAGAAGGTTCTATAAAGTAAAGAAGGAATGGTGGAAACTAGCGTTAAACTAGTGTGAGCTGCAATGTTGTATCTAAAGAAACAGTTGTGAAACGTTAGTAACTTACTTCACCTACTTTTTTACGATGTTAAAATCTTATTGTACAACTGAAGGCATAGAAGGTTCGTCAAAAGAGAATCAATTTAAACACTCAAAAGTGTGRAGACTGGTCAGAAACTAGAACAACGAGTGGGGATTTTGGAATAGGACKAGTTGAGGTGTTTCGATCGTAATAAATAGCGCTTCGCGCGTAGTTTTAAACTCCAACTACGTCGCAAATTTYGATTCAATTGCACTCAAACTTTCGCAGAAGTCACAGTGAATATCGATAATTCTTTTTGATAAATTAATTTTCCAAAAGCGATGCCATTTGGATAAACGATGCAAAATAAAAACACCTTCATTTTTCTTCTAAATTAATTTTCTCGAAACTCATCGCAGAGATTGTAATAAAATTTTCAGAATCACTTTTTAATAGCATAATTGATACTGACCAAGTTTCAACAATATTTTAACCTAAAATTTCGAGCTGTTTGAGCAAAATGATGTACATTCGAACAAATCAAAATTTTAGGTTTTAATCTTAAAAGATTTTATTGAAACTTCGTCAGTATATCAATTATGTTATTAAGAAATGATTTTCGAGAAAATTTATTTAGAAGAAAAATGAAGTTTTTATTTTGCATCGTTTATCCAAATGGCTTCGCTTTTTGGAAAATTAATTTATCGACAAGAATTATCGATAATCACTGTGACTTCTGCGAAAGTTTGAGTGCAATTRAATCGAAATTTGCGACRTAKTTGGAGTTTAAAAATACGCGCGGAACGCTATTTATTACGATCGAAACACCTTAAACTGGTAAACGTGAGTGGTTTTCATGAGGCTCCCAGATTCTTTTTTCTCTTTTTTTTTTTCTTTTCTTTTCTCTTCTTTTTTTTGGGGGGTGGGAGGGGGGAGGGGGGTTCAATAGTGTGAAGAAGGCGAATTTTGTTTTGGATTCCGACACAGCGAAGAAACCGTTGGACTATCCGAAAATGTATTACCCTATTGATTTAACAAATAAGTCTCTTTTTCAAGGACTTCGTTTGCCAAGGAAAGGGGGATTCCGGGTTAGRACCCACTTCTACACACTCCCCTGCCTAAACCCTTTGAGTATGAATCAACATTTAGTTGACAGTAATTCTATGTTTTTATATATAGGTACTTTATCTGACTTTGATTTGTACTTTCCACGAGTAAATTATAAAGACTACGTGATGCAAAGGTTCAAGGACTTCCGCAAAAAAGCAATTCATTATTTCTGGCATTTCACCTTAAGTTTCTGGTTGAATCCCGACCAAGATCAGGGATCATCGGAATCAGCCGTTTTGTCTTTTGTTCAGAATTCTAAGCAGATACTAAAGGTCAATCTGAAAACATATAATCAAAAGTATAAAAAGCTACRTTTAGAATTTGGGGTTTCGTCTAGAGTAAGGTAAGATTTTGCATGGATATACTGATTATTTGTACCCCTCTTCCTCTCCCATGATTTTGGCAAATTTAATGAATGTATCAGTTAAAAAATGGCCTCAAGTTCTTGCTACGTTTCTTTTGTCTTTATTTATTTATTTTTTATTTATTTTTTTTTGGAGGGGAGGGGGGGGGGGGGGGTATCAGGCTTAATTAAACGTCAATGTGCATTCGTGAACCATTTTTTCGCATTCAAAAATTCGCCATCTTTGATTTTGAATCTATCAAAAAGTAACTTTAATTATAAGAGCTAAATTATATTGCTAGAGTGTTATGTAAAGTAAGATGATATATGGGAATGTCAAAAGGTTTCTTTTATGTATTCTTTACTATTGAAGAGCAAATTTTGTGTTCTTCGCTTCGTTAAACTTGCTCTAGACTAAGTAAGAAAATTAAGGAAATAAAATAGAAAATGTTAGCATGCAAAGGGTAAGAACGATTGACGCTGCATGTTTTAAGAGCTACTTGGACAAAAACTGAGAAACATTAGAAAAGACTTGGAAATCAAATAGAACTATCCATACGGGTCTAATAATCATGACGCAACAGATTTCAAGAAGATATTGATACAAATCCTTAATAATTTGGRCAAAAAATGTTGGAGTAAATGACGTCATTTACTCCATCCTTTTGTTCTTCCATCTTTTGAATCAGAATTTCTCTGATGTAGGATAATTCCGAAATAAATATTTTCCCGCAATTGTTTTTAATAGATATAAATGAGTCATATATTTGTAAAGTGCTTGAAGTTTTGAAATAAGGGCATTTTCATGAAAGTAGCACTTTATACACGTTGACAGCAAAGTGGCATCAAGGTGGTAATCACTGGAAAAACTTYTAACGTGATTACTATTCCTAAGGTTTGAGCCAGATAATCAAAATCTGCTGCTTGTCGCTTCGAAGAACTGGACATTTGTGGTAATCAAGTGGAGCTCAAGCTATTGGGGAACACTCTCCTTAAAAACTGTCCAGGCAGACGGAAAAGAAAGAAGAGAAGACAAAAAAAGGCTGTGGCCAAAGGATGAAACGCTAAGTAATGAGGCGATTGTTTTGGTTGGGAATGATCCAGACCACAACAGTWASCGAGGCTTCAGAGGAACCATATCAAGGCTGAACATTTGGGATACTTGGATTGGGGATACAAAACCTGACAGTCTTACAACTAACGCTAGAGTTGCTTGGCCAATGTTTTGGGATTTCTATGGACCTCAAATTGCTGGATCTGTTGTCAAATTGCCATATTCTGAACTACAGAGAGGTATGCTATGATAACTGGGAGAAAGTATATGAAATATGTAAATAACTACTTCAATTGTATCCTATTTCTCATTTGAATGTTATTTTTTATGTTATTATATTTTTAATGAGTTTTTTTTTTTGACACCTTCGCTGATTTTATTTTTTTCTTCGGTTTGCTTTTCTTTTTCTTCTTGTGATCGACTTTGTATTCATTATAACAACCTTGGAATTAGAAAGTGCAAACATTGCTTTTTTTAAGCACAGTAGTCTGAATATAATTTTTTAAATTTAATTTTTTTTTATAAATATTTCAGTTCATCAAGCTGTTCCCGCTGCAAACATCAAGTGGTCAGCCCATGGAATCGACAACGTGGCTGTCACCGCTTCCTCTCAAATATTCAAAGCCACGTTCAATGATATTCCGTGCGATTCTGTGGCCTATTTGTCCGTCACTCTAAAAGCACAGGAGACACCAAAACGCATCAAATATAAGCAAACATTTACTGGAAATGTTAAGTGTTATGGCATTTTTGGTGGACTGTAAGAACTGTATTATATTTTACTTAGTAAAATATTAGTACTTAGTACTTGTACAGTACTCTTCCAGGGGCGTATCCAGGGGGGGTCACAGGGTGAAAAAAAAGCGTGAAAACCATAGATTGATATGACATCACAAAGGATCTCCCCCCCCCCCCCCCCCCCCCCCGCCAATGAAAATCCTGGATACGCCCTGCATGACTTCCAAAAACTGCAAAGATTATATTACTCAGAACATATTATTAGTCAATGAGGTCTGCATTATAGACCTTTATCAAAATAAAAATGTCATTCTGAAATACTTAAAGTATCGAATTGGTCATTAGTGATAAAGATGCAAAGTGTCAAGAACAATCTTTAAACTTCGTATTTTCTTCTTAGTTTTATTGACAGCACCTTATATGGAAGTCAATTATTTTATCAAGATGTTAGGGTCGAAAAAGCTCAAAAATCAACAAATAAACGCCGGTCCTCTAGGGGTTACACTTCGTATTTTCTTGTTGTTTATCATGAAAATGAGGCAGGCTCACCGAGAATCGATCGCTGCTTGCAATACCTTTCTTTGCAAAATTACATAGTTTTGAAAATTCACCAATTTCAGTTTGAAACTTGGCATATTTTTTATCATCACTGATGTGACAAATTCGATACTGGATTTCTTTTTCGTTACATAGAGTTTTTTTCATGCTAGCGTGATATGAATTTCGTCTATTTTCTCTAGTTTAGATTAAATTCTCCGTCACTAAAGCAATATTTGTTATTTGAACTAGACTTTCTGGAGCATACAGATTGAACGAGACAGGCCTA